ATTCGAATAATCATAGCAACTTATAATAAAACAACCAATCAAATTACTTCAGTGTCATAACAGTTACGAATAATAGCCAATCAAATTACTTCAGCATCATAACAATTACGAATAACAACCAATCATATTCTTCACTGATAAAACCGTCGATTATAGAAAAATTTATCTAATTCATTCCTTTTCAAAGTTTTTAGTGTAGATAATATGGTATAGAGCGACAGTAAAAACCATTCAGCTCAGAAAATAAAACATGCCAACTGAAGTGTTTATCAGTATGAAGTTGTGAAGATTGATAAGGAGCTTTGGTCTCGTGCATGATCGCTTAATCTTTAAGATCACTAAGCTGACATTCAGTGGTGTTAATGTCAAAGTTCAATCAATCCACGATAGTGCGCAACCATTTTCAATTGTCTTCAGTGGATAACTGCCTCACAACCGATACAGCTGAAGTTAGACATTAACACTATTGGATGTCAGCTCAGTGGTTCAGAGGTTAGGCGTTCGTGTTCGAGACCTAGGATCCTGGGATCGAGCCCCGCGTGCATAGTTGTTGATACGCACTGTTAAGTGTTCCCGTCCTAAGACTAGACGACCATCCAGTGGTGGTCTAACATTGGTCGAACCATGATTTCAGTTGGAGTATTTATTTTCACTGTTACTACATTGATGTCGATCGTATGATTCACTAAAATAGTAGGGATTAATGAAATGATGACAAGTAGATTATAAATACATGGTTAACTAAAAGCAGTTGCGTAAAATGGTCAATTTTATTAAAATTTAACAAGAATTACAACTTGGGTGAAATACACTTTGACACCAAATATCTGAATAATGAAAGGTCAAATGTATAAACAAAGAAAAATAAACAAAATCATGAACCGACTAATGTTAGACCATCACTGAAAACCTGGAAGCACTGAATGGCCGTTTTGTCCCAGTATGGGACTCCTCAGCAGTGCGCATCCACGATCATGCACACGGGACTCTGTTATATTAGAACAAAGAATAGATGAATGGTGACTGCTAGGAATTCTTTATGAACTATTATTGCATATATTTCTATTCTGTAACTATTAGGTAGCTAGTTGATATGTATATTCATATTTTTTTTATCATAAGCTTTCATTTGATCTACTGTCCACTATTATACGACTTACTATTCTTAAGTTATTTCCAATCTATTAGTTACAGTCTCTCACACTCACGGCCACTTTCTGGCCTAATCTTGTATAGTTCTCCTTGGCTTAATCTAAATTAAGATAGCATTGACAATCAGTTGGGCTGTATTGTGGTAAGCATCAGCTCACTCATAACTTACATCAAGATCCCTTCTAGTCTAAAGTTGTGACTGGTGGATTATAAAAACACCGGCTTTCAGAACAGTATCATTAAACGTGACGAATGATGTTCGAGTTATATGAAGAATTAATTAAATTTGAAAAAACAAACCTTCGAATACCAGTTCAATGTAATGAAGATTCAGCATTCACATGGGCCTGAGTTCGATCCTTGGTACTATCGTAAGTGAATACTTCTGATAAGTTCTATACAGTGACATAATCGCTCTCCCTTTACCATTTAATAACATCTTAGCTGATATCGTTCTGCGACAAATAACATCTACAGAATAATGTGACCAATAGAAAACCATTTCACTTAAAAGAACTAATCAATTAAGCATTTCATTAATTTTATAAAGGATGTTACAATGTGAAATTTATGTTATTTCAACAAAATGTCATGCTAGAATTCTGCACGAATTGTGTTCATTTTGTTTTCAACACTTCAATGACAACAAATAATTCAATATATCAGAGGGGGATTTTGTGGAAATTATAGTAATTTTAATAGTAGAGATCATAAGTCAATTGAAGTTAGACCACCATAAAAAATCCGGAAGTACTGATTGGCCGTTTTGTCCTAATGTGGGATTCCTCAACAGTGCACATCCACGATCGCGACTCGCGAGACTCGAACCCAGGACCTATCGGTCTGTCGCGCGAACGCTTAACCACTAGACCACTAACCCTACATCCAACGGTGTTAATATCTAACTTCAACTAATCCACGAAATTGAGCGACACATCCAACATTCAATATATTAATATGGTCATGTAAATATACTAGTTATAATATCATTGAAATTCTTAATGTGTAATCGTTTTAATTCGATGCCCATTAACCAAAGTATCCAGAGAATATATATATATATATATATATATATATATATATATATATATATATATACCCTAATGGTTTGAACAGCTATTTGTACAAGTACCTTGGCCTAAGATTATACTACTTAAAATACAGTTCTAGTAGTTCATAACTCACATAGTAAATTTCTGTAATTATATTACTGTATTTTAAATTAGGAAATTACATCTCCACATACGCATTTACTTTATAAATTTAGTTATCCATATTATGTAAGGAGACAGAGAATTTTCATTATATATAAAATGTGTCCAGCATGTTTATTTCATCTTGAAACTGATTATTCAAATACTGTTGACCCAACAATGATGATGCCTCGTTCGATTCCATACTGGTGTGTTCTTATAGCCCTGTGAATTATAACACCTAAGAAGAACTCCGGCTTAGTGACCAGACCAATGACGCGTAAACCAATACAAGTAGACTACATTCAACTCTGAGTCCTGATTAGTCATTTCGTCTAGCCCTGTCCGTTCAACTTTAGTACATAAATCTCAGCTGCCATTGTATCAATCATGTATTTCAGACATACGCAGCTCATATACAAGCAAATAAAATTGTATCATACCATTAAAAGAGAATGGAACTAAATTATCGAAAAGGCTTTCAGCATAGATATGTAGAGATTATTGAATTTTAGTGAGAAGATGAATCTATCTATCGTTGTCTGATACCAACTTAGAAGTCTAGGGGTCAAGCGTTCTTTCGTGATCGAAGTTTCTGAGTTCGAGTCCTATGTGCAAGATAGATGATGCGCGCTGCTGGGGAGTACAATACAAGAACGAAACGGCCGTCCAGTACTTCTAGGTTTTCGGTGGGAGTCTCATATTGATCGGTTCATGATTTTAATAAAGTGTAAAAAAATTGAAATTTATTCTTTTAAATAGTCATTATGATGAAATTCGAATCATCCTTGTCTTCTAAACTTCCTATCAAAATGATTTACTAGTATAGAGAGTTTTTAGATAACGCCAAATACTCATAACTTACATCACGACCTACCAGTGAGAAACCATGATAAATGGAGTTCAACAGTATCGGGTGTAGGACAATTATTCACAACAAGCAATGGCAGTTGGTCACATAATATTGAGTACCGCTTGAATTTGGAGAAGCGATCAGTTGTCCATCGGGTTATGCTCTGGCCACGGAACTAGAGGCTATAATTGTTTACCATCGAGGATTTCCAAACTTGAATGAAACAGTTTTCCAATGCCACCTGGTTTTTACTGGTGGTCTAACTGAGATCGGTTCATGATTTAAACTCTGAAACTTAATTAATTTTTGAGCCGAAAATTGTATTCATGTTTTTCTCGATTCCAACCTTATGTAATTAAATCTAATGAATAGAATAACAAGCTCTTCGATTTTATATATTCGATTTCGCTAATTTATTATGAATTAACTTACTTACTTAGGCCTGTTACTCCAAATAGAGCATAGGCCACCGACTAGCATTCTCAAACCCACTCAATCCTGGGCCTTCCTTTTTAGTTCTATTAAATTGTTGTTCATCCTTTTCATATCCATCTCCATTTCTCGGTGTAATGTATTCTTTGGTCTTTCTCTTTTCCTTCGGCCTGAAGAATACCAAATGAGGGCTTGTGTTGAAACGTAATTTGGTGCTTTCTTCAATGTGTGTCCTATCCACTTTCAGAGCTTCATCCTGGTTTCTTCCTCCGCTGGAACTTGGTTCGTCCTTTTCCACAGTAGGTGGTTGCTAATAGTGTTTGGTCAACGGAGTCGAAGCATTTAAAGAAAATCATTCTGAAATCATAGTTTAACAACGATGTTTTTTATGAGAGATTGACACAATTGACTTGAAAATTCATAACAAAACAGTTCACAATAGTCAAACGAAATATAGTATTTTACATTAGTCTAGTAGTAATAAACTCAAATATAGACTTTCTGGATTTGTCACATCTAGTATTATGTTTCAATTAAACTGTTATTGTTGAATCATGTCAAATAGGTCGTGTTACCTCTCAACACCATCTTGCCTGACCGCTATAAAATGATAATTATGTTAAATTAAGGACAGAATGTTTAGTATAGTTTTCTGAGTTATTCGACTTAACCCTGTAACCTTACTGTGTGGTTTATGTGTTTTTCTTCGGAATTCATAATTAGAAACGGGAACTTTTTGTTGTAAATAAATTCCTATCACTTCTCGTCCAGCCACGGTTATCAATACAAAGAGTGGACCACAGTTGATTAAGATAAAATTACGACAGTTATAAATAACTTCAGTCGATTAATCTACTTTTTCTTGATGAAGATAGAACCGAACTGGCGGTACCGAGTAATTTTAAGGGTAACCTTAAGTCAAACAAATCAAAAGTTGGCTAATCAGAATGAAGATTTTGTAAATGCCAAGGTGAAATTACAAACAATATAAACTTTTTTAATATTGACATTGTAAATCTATTTTCCTAAACTTTGTACTCTTAACATTTAAACTCTTAAAGCAACCTTATCTCATGACTCCGTGCCTTCTTTAGATGTTGTTTCTTGACCAGTCATAATCATATCATTTTATCAACAGTCCAACACCCTGTTGAAGATCATTATTCATCATCCTCATCCTTACTTACTTAATTACTTACGCCTCTTACTTCTCGTGGAGAAACATAGGCCACCTACCAGCACTCGTCATTCAACCTTGTCCTGGGAAATCCTTTCCAGTTGTTATTCATCCTTTTCATATCCGCAGTGTGTACTTTGGCCTTCTTCATCTCCACTTCCCCTCACGATTTCAAGTTAGGGCTTGTCTCGTGATGCAGTTTGATGATTTACGTAATGTATGTCCTACATATTTCCATCGTCTTTTCCTAATTTCCTCTTCAGCTGGAAGTTGGTTTGTTCTCTCCCACAGTAGGTTGTTGCTGATGGTATCCGGCGAATGGATATTGTGTATTGTGTATTATTTACAAATACTTGTGTATTCTTGATGACGATTGTAGTAGTTCTCTAAGTTTCAGCTTCGTACAATAGAACTATCTTGACATTCGCTCGCCGGTGACCATACCACCTTGAAAGCACCGGTTATCATCATCATCATCATCATCATCATCATCATCATCATCATCATCATCATCATCATCATCATCATCATCATCATCATCATCATCATCATCATCATCATCATCATCATCATCATCATCATCATCATCATCATCATCATCATCATCATCATCATCATCATCATCATCATCATCATCATCATCATCATCATCATCATCATCATCATCATCATCATCATCATCATCATCATCATCATCATCATCATCATCATCATCATCATCATCATCATCATCATCATCATCATCATCATCATCATCATCATCATCATCATCATCATCATCATCATCATCATCATCATCATCATCATCATCATCATCATCATCATCATCATCATCATCATCATCATCATCATCATCATCATCATCATCATCATCATCATCATCATCATCATCATCATCATCATCTCATCATCATCATCATCATCATCATCATCATCATCATCATCATCATCATCATCATCATCATCATCATCATCATCATCATCATCATCATCATCATCATCATCATCATCATCATCATCATCATCATCATCATCATCATCATCATCATCATCATCATCATCATCATCCAAAGCATCATCATCATCATCATCATCATCATCATCATCATCATCATCATCATCATCATCATCATCATCATAGTCGTATAATTTCATTTTTATTATTATCATCATTATTTTTAAAATATGAAGATCACTTAATTTTTCTTTGTCTCCAAATGTCAAACAAACAACACAAATTTGAACAATGTTATACAATTCAATCCCACTTGGTTACTAATTCAATGTATATAAATACATCAATATAAAATACAAAATATTAGGTTCTTTATATTAATATTGATTTGGTTACTGCTTGTGTGTAAGTGTATATTTCTTGTTTGTTTGTTCTGGTTCTTGTTGTTGTTGTTGTTGTTGATAGGTTGATTGGCATTGTGAATAAGGCAAAATACTAAGAATGAAGACAATGATTTGGCGTCGAAAAAAATGAAAAGAAAAAAAATAATAAAAAAACAACTGAAACTACTCGGTCACCAATTTGTAATAAGGAATCACGTCATTTATGTCGGTCTTTTATTTCTATTAGAAAACAAATAAATAAATACATTGATGAAATATGACAACATAGTTTCTATCAATTGAACTATATAATCGTGTAATGAAAGTGAATTTACCTGGTCGTGGATACTCACTGCTTAGGAGTCTCATACTGGGATGAAAACTGCCGTCCACTCCTCCCAGGTTTTCCATAGTCGTCTAGCTTCAATTGACTCATGATTTCCACCAGTGAAGTAAATATATATATATATATATATATATATATATATATATATATATATTCAATAGGTTTTTCTTTGATTTAAAAAGTGTCTTAATGGTTTAAAATATGTCCATTGTTTCTATGTCTTATATGATTTTGAGGAAATTTTATTTAGAGAGAATAAATTAGTCAATACAATTGGGGATGGTAGAATAATAGTTGAATTTCTTTTCAAACATATTGAACATGATAATTTAGGGTAAAATAAATAAGTAGTATAGCATGCTGTCATGTCAGTGACATCATTGTTCTGAGATTGTATTTTCTTAGGATGCTGTGACAATTAGTTACTATTACTATAGATTGAATGATTTCTTGTACTATTTAAGAATACCATTCTTACTTGACATAGTTATTGTTCGTAGACTTTATTTTTGTCATAGAATACCTTGAGAAGTTAGTTTATAATAAGGTAATTTGGAATAATAAACATACATAATCAAGTATACAATGCTTATATTTTATCAGAAGGGGTTTTTTTGGAGGTTGTAGTAATTTCAGTAGTTGAAATCAACTATTGAATTTACTACAATCTCTACAAAATCCCTCTCTGATTATAATCATCATATGCTCACTAGTGACTGACTTCAAGAGGCATTTCCTAGAGTTCTAGTGAGAAACAGTGATCAGTAGAGTCCAACCAGGTCTGTTGTGAGATAGTAGCTCACTGAAGACAGTGGTGAATGTGTCGCTCAATTTCGTCGACTAGTTGAAGTTAGACATGAACACCATTGAATGCTGGCTCACTGTTCTAGTTGGTTAAGTGCCTGGTTCGAGACTGTTAGGTCCTGGGTTCGAATCTCGTGGGGTGCGGGATCGTGGATGCGCATTGTTAAGGAGTCCCATACTGTCCGATGCTTCCGAGTTCTCCATGGTGGTCCAGCTTCAATTGACTCATGATTTCAATCAAAAACCTAACAATCTCCACAACCCCTGAACTAATAAATCTAACTCTCATTTGATTGGTCAATATGATTTTGGTGATAAAAATCGTTTTTTGTTTCGTATAGAAAATTCTGATTGGTTAAAACTATTCAACTAATCAGAATGTTGATTTATTACTATGCCTCATTAAAAAAAATAAAATAATTCCCGATTTCTCAAAACAAACAAACAAACAAAAAAACGAAAAAAACAGAACAAACATGTTATGACATCTTTGTGTATTGAGTATCATCTCATTGTTTTCGTCTTCTTCCAGAAATATGGATTGTTTTTTTAAAGAAAATATCTATCTATTGGGAATGTTTACCTCAAGTCATATTCATAAAACAGAAATAACCATGGAATTATATGATTATTGAAATCAAATATGATGAATGAATGAATGAATGAATGAATGATTGAATAATCAATTATTTTCTATTATTATTTCATTTCAATGAACAATAATATTGTTATAACTATTAATACTACTTATAATACTACTTATAATTATGATATCATTCATAATCAATCTATTATATATAATACATTAAATAATACATATAATTATTTATTACATATAGAAAAACGTTATTGGTGTTTATGTTTAATGATATTTTCAATTGCTACATTATTTGGTAATTCATTAGTTGTATTAAGTGTAATACGTGAACGTTCATTAAGAAATGCAACAAATTGGTTTATAGTTAGTTTAGCAATTGCTGATATTAGTTTAGCAATATTAGTTATGCCATTAGCTACATGGTTAGAAGTAAGTCTAATTATATTCCTTTTTTAAATTTTTATTAATGATAATAATTATTGATTAAAACAATCGGTTTTTGATTGTTACTATGATTGTTTGTTTGTTTTTAAAATAGAACAAGAACATAGTAACAACTATTGATTAATGTCAATATTACTTTATGATGAGATTATAATTTATGAATGACTATTGAGCAATGATAAAGTGTCCTTGACAATGTCCACCCACTTACTTACTTACTTACTTACTCCCGTTACTCACAATGGAGCATAGGCCGCCGATCAGCATTCTCCAACCCACTCTGTCCTGGGCCTTCTTTTCTAGTTTCATCCAATTCTTGTTCATTTTCCTCATGTCTATTTCTATTTCTCAAAGTAATGTGTTCTTTGGTCTTCCTCTTTTCCTTTGGCCTTGAGGATTCTATGTGAGGGCTTGTCTTGTGACGCAGTTCGGTGCTTTCCTCAATGTGTGTCCTATACACTTTCAGAGTTTCTTCCTGATTTCTTCCTCCACTGACATCTGGTTTGTTCTCTCCCACAGTAGGTTGTTGCTAATAGTGTCCGGTCAACGATGTCCACCTACTGACTAGGATTAAATGAATGTTTTAAATTTGTGTAAACAATAAGCATTATTTTGAAGGAGTTTTGTTCTCTGAGGTGTATAGTTTTGGTCATCCTCAGAGAACAAAACTCCATCAAAATCATTCACCTGAGCTATAAATCTTCTCCACCATCTCAATAAGCATTATGATTTATAATGGATGGTTAGAGATAGGAATTAGATTGATGGATTTTATCCTGAATGGACATCAGTTAAAATGCCAAGATTCTATTTACCTAAATGAATAAAGAATTTTGTGTTGAAATTCAAGACTTGTTATCATAAATCTGATTGGTTTGTCCATAAATTATAGTTTCACCTTAATGATAATTTAATGAAAGTCAGAATTATTTCAGTGCTTGATAGATTACTTTGCTTGTTTGAAGTAATCATATAATTCATGAGAAATATGCCAGGAAATAGAAAACAAATAAACGTCTTCTGATAAAGTTATAAGGGCATCTGTTAACTGATGACGATGTATCCACATGTTTGATGTATCTGACTGAAAAACTATTCGCAATAGATTGTACGTTATGTAATATAAAATGTTGAATGTACTCAATGACATTGGTAACAAAATGAAGCCATTAATTGTATTACATCTAAGATGATTAAATCAAAGTGATTATATGTAGTAGTAAACATCTAGATTAGTATTTTGATGTTGAAAGGTTGAACTGTTTGTTATATGCAACAAATCTGAATTTTTATTCTCTAAAATAATCAGTCAGGTAATACGTTAACCTATGAAGTGAACGTTACTTAGTTTGAGTCTTGGAGTGAACGTCAATTCTGGAATGCAGTTACATTCAGCTGACAAGTTAACAGTGGGACAAAACACATGGCCTGGATTCTATTGTTAGCTATTATCCATCTCTGTTCATAATGCTCGTAATTTAAGGCAATACTGAGGCAATTTATACAGGATGTACATATCTCAAAAAAGAGACTGATCAATTGTAGTTTTAAACATCAATGGGAAGATTCAAACAATCAATACCAAAATAAATGAATCAATCAAATCGGTATCCACTCGTACAGAAAAAAAGAAACATCCTCACTCAATTCTCACATATTGAATAATTAATTATGCTTAAAGGATCGATATGTTAACCACCAAACCAGTGAAATTGAAAGACGCATCATTACTTAAGTAGTAATTAAATGATTATCAATAATTATCGAGGTTTAAATTATTGACTTATTCAATAAATCAATCATGGATTGATTAAAGTTAGACATTAACACCGTTGGATGACGGTCCAGTCGTTTGGAGGTTAAGAGTTTGCACACGAAATCGGTAGGTTCTGGGTTCGAATCTTGTGGTGCGGGATGGTGGACATGCATTGCGAAGGAGTTCCATATTAAGACGAAATGGCTGTCCAGTGCTTCCGGATTTTCCATATTGGTCAAGATTTAATTAATTCATGAATTCAATTCATAAACCGACGAGTTCTTGAATAAAACATGAATTTGATCTAACTGATGTTATTAAGAGAAAATTCTTGTTTTCAGAATATTGTTTTTTAACTGATTTTATAGTAAATAAGCTAGATTTAACAATTTGCTTAGTAGAAATAAAAACAGTCTTGTTTTATTTGAGTAGTAAACATTCGACACTTTCAGTCACCGACATTCCAATTCTATCCTAGTTTATAAAAAACAACATCATTATTCAAAGATGGATAGTGGCTAGCAGTGGAATACAGTAAGGCGCATGTTTCGTCATATTTAGGACTCGTTAACTAGATGTACCTGTATATCAGAAATGATGCTTATTCTGGGACTCGAACTCAGTACCGTATGAGAAGAGACACGTAAACAATATCAAGTGAATTTAAAACATCATTATACAGTTTGAATAGAAGTATAAGAAATATTACTCGATTATTTGATAAATGATTAGTTACTTAGTTACTGAAGTTAAACGAATAAGTCTCTATTACTATCATAAATCAATATTACAAGGTTAAATGATTGATTTAGTAAAGTGTCAAGGTAAAAAATGCCTACTTACTCACTTACTTACTTACTTACTTACTTACCTACTTACTTACTTACTTACTTACTTACTTACTTACTTACTTACTTACTTACTTACTTACTTACTTACTTACTTACTTACTTACTTACTTACTTACTTACTTACTTACTTACTTACTTACTTACTTACTTACTTACTTACTTACTTACTTACTTACTTACTTACTTACTTACTTACTTACTTACTTACTTACTTACTTACTTACTTACTTACTTACTTACTTACTTACTTACTTACTTACTTACTTACTTACTTACTTACTTACTTACTTACTTACTTACTTACTTACTTACTTACTTACTTACTTACTTACTTACTTACTTACTTACTTACTTACTTACTTACTTACTTACTTACTTACTTACTTACTTACTTACTTACTTACTTACTTACTTACTTACTTACTTACTTACTTACTTACTTACTTACTTACTTACTTACTTACTTACTTACTTACTTACTTACTTACTTACTTACTTACTTACTTACTTACTTACTTACTTACTTACTTACTTACTTACTTACTTACTTACTTACTTACTTACTTACTTACTTACTTACTTACTTACTTACTTACTTACTTACTTACTTACTTACTTACTTACTTACTTACTTACTTACTTACTTACTTACTTACTTACTTACTTACTTACTTACTTACTTACTTACTTACTTACTTACTTACTTACTTACTTACTTACTTACTTACTTACTTACTTACTTACTTACTTACTTACTTACTTACTTACTTACTTACTTACTTACTTACTTACTTACTTACTTACTTACTTACTTACTTACTTACTTACTTACTTACTTACTTACTTACTTACTTACTTACTTACTTACTTACTTACTTACTTACTTACTTACTTACTTACTTACTTACTTACTTACTTACTTACTTACTTACTTACTTACTTACTTACTTACTTACTTACTTACTTACTTACTTACTTACTTACTTACTTACTTACTTACTTACTTACTTACTTACTTACTTACTTACTTACTTACTTACTTACTTACTTACTTACTTACTTACTTACTTACGTCACTTGCTCGCAATGGAGCATAGGCCTCCGACTAGCATTCTCCAACCAACTCAACCTGAGCCTTCCTTTTCTGTTCTATCCAATTTTTGTTCATCCTTCTCACATCTGTCTCCATTTTTCAAAGTAATGTGTTCTTTGGTCTTTCTGTTTTGATTTGGCTCTGAGAATTCCATGTGAAGGCTTGTGTTGTGACGTCACTTAGCGCTTTCCTCAATGTGTGTCCTATCCACTTCCAGCGCTTCTTCCTGAATATCTTTAAATGCTTAAAATAAAATTTGTCAGTAGAAAATTACATAATTTTTTTTAAAATGCAATACTCACTTATTAATTGAATGGAAAAAGGACCTGAAAAGCTTAGATATTATACAATGATTAAGCACTGTAAACTGGTTGGTTACCTTATATGGTTTCAGCTTGTTACTTGTCACATTTAAAAATATACTGAGTGTTGGATGTGTTCATCTTTTCTTACGTAGTATTATTGAGTTTGCACGTACTGATGATTGACAGATAGTGTTTTTTTTAGAATGAGGGTTTGTGGAAATTTTAGTGATTTAATGATTGAATTCATGTATCAGTCTAAGCTACACAATCACTGAAAGCTTAGAAATACTGGACGGTCGTTTCGTTCTAGTATGAGACTCCACAACAGTGTACATCTACAATCCCACACTCAGAAGTCGAACCAAGAAACTTTGGTCCTGTATGCGAACGCTTAACCTCCAGATCGCTGAGCCGTCATCCTACGGTGTTAATGTCTAACTTTAACCAATCCACAAAATTGCACCACTGTTCATTATTATTTTCAGTGAATAACTACTTCATAACAGACACCGTTTGACTCCATTGGTCACGTCTACTCACTGGAACTCTAAGAAACACATCTTGAAGTCAGTCACTAATGAGCAAATGATGAGTATTATCAGAACGTGGTTTTGTGTAGATTGTAGTAATATTTTTATTTATTCCAACTCTGATTACATCTAAATAAGCTGTTTATTATTTTATCCCTTATTCTGGCTTCGTGTATCCTAAATCTTTATTCCCTAAGTTTTTTTAAACTTTTAAAACATTAACTTTGTCTAGTATTTACAAATCAGATGGAAAATTTCAAATATATTAGGCAATTGAAGCTGTTTGTCTGGAAATCCTGTAATAACTTATGTTTTATACTAACTGGAACCTTTTCTGAAATGGTGTTGTTTGCATGGTATACAATCATGTTACCTAGCATTAAAGTTTAAGATGTAACTGTCGGTCTATTCAGCTGTTAACTATCATGTACAAAACATAACTCTAGGGTTTTCTGTCATTTACCTCTAACAACCTAA